ACTACATCATGGCTATTGAAGCCCCTCAGAAGTTGCTTCCTTGGGGATAGAGAAGGTCAAAAGAAGCCTAAAGGAGCCTTTCATTGAGGTGGTTTTTGAGGCGCCTCTCCCGCATGGAGATTACGAACGTGGCCACGAAGATAACTCGTGAAGCGACTGTGAAACCTAAAGCGTGACTCTAAACCCGAAATTCCTTGGGAGAGCATTCAATTTGAAGCTCCGTGTTTTTTAATACAGTGTCAAATCGTCGTTGGTGTTGCAACCTCAGAACACCATCTAAAAAATGTTTCCCTCCCTGCTATGCGGTGGCGCGCAGGAGAGTTAAGGACTGTGGCATGGGCCGCAATGGCGCGTTCTCGGTGCTCAGCTCACTTACCAACCTCGTGGAAGTGTATGGGCCTTCTCACACACGCACACGCACACGTCACATGCTCCCCACACAAACTCATGTGCACATCTCTCCACGCACTCAGTGCTCAGCTCACTTACCAACCTCGTGGAAGTGTATGGGCCTTCTCACACACACTCCTCACATGCACTCCCCACACCTACTCATGTGCACACCTCCCCACGTTCTCGGTGCTCAGCTCTCTCACTAACCTTGTGAAAGTTTATGGACCCCTCACACACTCATCATATGCACTCATCACATTCACTCCCCATACACTCATCTTATGCACTCATCACATTCGCTCCCCACACACTCATCACATGCACTCCCCACAAACTCTCATCACATGCGCTCCCCATTCACTCAACACACGCACTCCCCACACCCATCGCATGCACTTTCCACCTCTGCCCTTCTACCCACCTCTTCACAGATTGTTTCGACTCTTTCTTTTTCCGCCCTTGACTGTCTCTTTCTCACCCCGTCCTCCCCACATATCAGCGATTTGCCATCCAACGGTGTCTCAGATCTATCATCTCTTCACGGATTGGGCTACACCAAACTAAAAAAGCTGTATGTTTATTTTTTTTTCCCGCATGTATAATCCCGTGGGTAGTTAGCTGTTTTCGTTTCTGCCGGCCTCCAGTAGCACGTGTCTCCATGCGTGCGCGTGGTGTGTGCATTGTGGGCCAAAAATAGATGTTCCTGGGAACATGAGTGTGGCACGGCACATGGCACTCCCTGAATTTTGAGGCGCCTCAAAAGTCGTCTATGTTCACACGGTTTTGAGGCGCCCCAAAAGGCGTGTGTGTGCATTGTGGGCCAAAGAAAAAGATGTTCCTGGGAACATGAGTGTGGCACATGGCCGTCCCTGTTCAGAGTTCTCTGCGCAGAGTGTGTGGCACATGTGCCTCGTTGCATGCACGTTCTCTGCGCCCTTCCACACCCTTTCGTTTCCACTCCCGCTCCATCTGCTCCATGAGACGCGCATTCATCCCAGGCCACTTCAAAGAACGCACGTGTGCCCGTATTGACCCTCCCACCCACCCACCCGTATTGTGCCCGTACTGCACTACCCTGCAGGAATCTGCGGGCGAATACACTGCAGGCGGATCGGCTCTCTGACCTGAGCAAACTCACCAGCCTCACATTGCTGTGAGTGTTCTTGAGTCGGTAGGAACTGACAAGTCATCTGGGAACTGACATACTGCAGGCGGACTGGCTCTTGAACGTGGACGTACTATAGGTGACGTAACTGTTGACTCGACTCAAAGCTCACAAGTCATATGGGAATTGAGCATGCTGCAATTGGACCAGCTCTTGAATTTAAACAAACTCAGCAGCCTCACATCGCTGTGAGCAGACTCTTTCCAACTCCCTGCAATCCCAACTGCTCATCTGTGAGTAGGCGTGCCTCAGAGGAGAAGGCGAGAGAGTTGGAGAGATGTACCATGCGAGGATTCAGCAAGCATGGTGGATGGATAACGGTTGCTGCTGGCTTGTCCCGCATCGCCCTCATGTGACCAACTTCGCCTCTGCTTGTGTGCGCTGCTTGCTTTCTGTGCTGGCATTCTGAGTGTCCTGCCATGCATGACATTGTCGCTTGTTGTGTGGGCTCTGTTGTGAGCATGGGAATGGCATGCATGCATGGGAATGACATGCATGTCTCCACAGGGATATGTCACGAAATCAGTTGAAGAGCGACCAATTGCTGCAGGGGCTAAGCCTTCCCAACATGCACTTCCTGTAAATCCGCCTGACGGCATAAATCCGCCTGACGGCATAAATCCGCCTGACGGCATAAATCCGCCTGACGGCATAAGTAGCAATCAATCACTGCCCATTCTGCTGATGGCACAAGACAAGTGATTCACACAAACTGTGCCCTGTTGTGTGCAGCTTTTCATGAACGTGCCCCAATGCAATGCTTTGTATTCTGCTCGTGTGTGTGAAGAGCATTTGCTAGCCTTTTCTCCCAGGTGTACAATTGCCAGCATTTTTTTATTTGCCAGGTGTGTGTTGAGCTGCCAATAGTGCATGGTGTGGCCATCCATTAGCGAGTGCACTAAGGTGTTCTATACACTTTGGTCCCGTACCAGCTCTTGCCGGATCTTAGGGTTCCCCACTTCAAGGACGTACCCCATGCCATGCACATGGCGCCCACTCATGCCATGCCATGCAAACGCCTCCCCCTCATGCCGTGCATATGCTCTCCCATCATGCCATGCACATGCCTCCTACTCCGCATCACCACAGGGACCTTTCTCACAACCGCCTCAGCGGCTCCCTTCCGGAATCCCTCACAGCCATGACTTCCTTAGCTGCTCTGTGAGTCCCTTGGCGTGGCCCCTCCCGACTTCGAAGGCGTCTCTAAAATCAAACCCCCTCCGCCCCTCCCCCCCAAAATTTCACAGCCATGACTTCCCTGGTTGCTCTGTGATTCCCTTCGTCAGTGCTCCTCTAAAAAGCCTTGAAAGTTACCTCTTTTCCGGAACCGCTCACAGCCATGACTACCCTAGCCGCTCTGTGAGTTGCTTACTTAATGGTCCTTCCGCTTTTGTACGGTCTCATATGTTGACTCTCTCTCCCGAGACAACACACAGTCATGACTTCCTTAGCTGCCCTGAGAGTCCATGCGAGGTGAGTCGTGAGGCTATTCAAACGCCATCACCTCTCTAGGTGACTTTTGAGTCGACACGAAAGTCATTTCTTCCCATACTGTGGTCCATGCGAGGTGACTTGTGCGGCGATTCAAACGCCACCTCTTTTTCGGGATCCCTGACAGCCATGACTTAAGTCCCTTAACGTGGCCCTTCCCATTCTCTTTCCATGTTGGCATTCTGTGCCAACCCTGGGGCCTTGGCACTTCCCCCACAGCCCATACCGTCTGAGACCCCTTTGTCCCCTTTGTCCCGTTTGCCTCCCATGCCTCCCATGCCTCCCTGGCAATGCGGCCTTCAACAACCTGCAAGGGATTGCCCCACCCTCCTTTGGAAGTGGAAAGACTTTTGACTTGAATAACAAGGCCTCTCAGTCCCCCTTGCCTCCCTTTCCTCCCTTGCCTCCCATGCGCCACAGCAACGTGGCCTTCAACAACCTGCAAGGAACCATCCCACCCTCCTTTGGCAGTCTCAACAGTCTCGCCACACTGTGAGTGGAGTGGAGTGGAGTGGAGTGGAGTGGGGTGGGGTGGGGTGGGTTGGGGTGGGGTGGAGTGGAGTGGGAAGGGGTGGGGTGGAGCGCCGTGGAGAAGAGCAGGCATGGCGCATCCTGTATGATAGAAGAAAGGTTCATTAGGAGGCATGAGCAAAATGTTCCCTCACCCTCGCTCTCGTCCCTGTGCCCATGCCTTTTCCCATCGAATCCTCTGAGCTCGCATGCCCTTCCTCGCCCTCGTCCCCGTGCCTTGCTGCCCCATCAGCCCCACCAGCAGCACCAGCGTCGCATGACTTTTGAAAATCGTCATGACAACCCTTGTGACAATCATATTCACCGGTTTCACATTGCCTTCCCCTTTCCTCGCCCCAACCAGCTCCACCAGCAGCACCAGAGTCGCATGCCTTTTGAGAATTCTCATGCCAACCCTTTTGGCAGTCAGATATTCACCAGTCTTGCATTGCCTTTTCTGGCCTCGTCCTCACCTCAACCAGGTCCACCAGCCGCACCAACCTCACATGCCCGGACCGCACCAGCAGCTGTGGCGTGCCTCAGAACGCAACCTCTGCCTTCTGCCGCACCTGCAGGGACTTCTGCTCCTCATGTCAGTATCACCCCAACAGCACCAGACACCCCTGGTTTTCGAAAGCTCCCAAAAAAAAAAAGGAAAAAAAAAAAAAAACAGAACAACAATAAAAAAGAAATATTGGAGACAAAACAAAACAAAACAAAACAAAACAAAACAAAACAGAACAACATAACTCTAAAAAAACAGCTTCTGATCCTCATGTGAGTATCACCCCAACCGCACCAGTGATTCCTGTGGCCCCAGCGACTTCAGTCACCCCAGCGTCCCCAGTCAGGGCCATGACCGTCTGTACCCCGTTTGGAAGAATTACAGTCGGGGCAGCAGCTCGTTTTCTGAAAAATAGTTGCAGTGGCCAGGTGAGCGAGCCCAGAGAGCGCAGTGATGGCTTTTCCACAGAGCGTGCCGGTGGGCTACCCGTGACGAGGTGACTTTTGAGTCGACTCAAAAGTCACTTTGGCCAATTGAGTGAGCCCAGAGCGCGCAGTGAAATGGCTTTTCTGTAGAGCGTGCCCTGTCAGTTGACCTTATGTGTCCCGCACGCTCTGTGGTGATAAGTCCAAGTTGCCAGCACCAAGCGTAAGCAACCAGGGGAATGCAGAGTCCAAGGCGAGAGTGTCTGTGGTCGCTGCGTGTGCTGTTGCTGTGCCCCATGTGCAGGTGATAGGTCCAAGCTGCCAGCACCACCGCCTGCTGCAAGCAACCAGGGGAATGCAGAGTCCAAGGCGGGAGTGTCTGTGGGATTGATTATCGCGGGTGTGGTCGCTGCGTTGGCTGTCATTCTGGGCCTGGCTGTTCTGCTCTATTACTACTGCTTCAACAAACGGCAAGAGAAAGGTACTGAACGCACGGCACACTACAGGCAATGAGGGGAAGCCAGAGTGGGAGGCAGGAGTGTCTGTGGGAGTGATCATCGGGGCCGTAGTTGCTGTCTGTGCTGCTGTTGTGGGCGTGGCTGTGTTGCTCTACTACTACTGCTGCCTCAGCAAACGGCAGCAGAAAGGTACTGAAACACACCAAACACCACTGCACACACCTCACCACGTGGCACCCGTGTTCCATGACCCGCCCGTTCCATGACCCGCCCGTTCCATGACCCGCCCGTTCCATGACCCGCCCGTTCCATGACCCGCCCGTTCCATGTCCCGCCCGTTCCATGACCCGCCCGTTCCATGACCCGCCCGTTCCATGTCCCGCCCGTTCCATGACCCAACCATTCTCAACACCAGGTCGCCATGTTGACCATTTCATGTGCACCTGCCTTGATGAGCAGCACGACAGCAGGATTGTCACCCACCCGCCGCCCCTTCCACTCTCACCCGCCGCCCCTTCCACTCTCACCCGCCGCCCCTTCCACTCTCACCCTCCGCGCCTTCCACTCTCACCCGCCCCCCCGTCCACTCTCACCCGCTCCTCTCACCAGCCTTGATTGAACAGCAGGGCAGCAACGCAGGCGTGTCAGGAGTACCCTCTGCAGAACGTGGGGAGGGCAAGCAACGGGTGGAGTAAGGTGACTCGTCTTTGCACTCTGGCGGGCGCAAACAAGCACTCTGGTGCTCCACATCACCTCCCTCTGCCACTCTTTCCTCCATCACCTCCCACCACCAGCGTTGATGAGCAGCAGAGCAGCGTTACAGGCGTGTCAGGAGTACCCACTGCAGCAGGTGGTGAGGGCGACTGACGGGTGGAGCAAGGCGACGGCGAATCTGCTGCTGGGCAGGGACCCAAACAAGCTCCCTCCCTGGTGCTCCAAATCTCCCCCCTTCTGCCGCCCCTTCCCCCTCCCCTCTCACCAGCGTTGATGAGCAGCAGGGCAGCATCACAGGCGTGTCAGGAGTACCCACTGCAGCAGGTGGTGAAGGCGACCAATGGGTGGAGCGAGGCGAACCTGCTGGGCAGTGGTGCGTTTGGGGACGTGTACCGCGCTGTGTCTCCCGCTGATGGCGCCACCCTGTGGGCTGTGAAGCGCGCCAAGCTCATTACTAACGACTTTGACACTGAGGTATGCGTGGCGTGGTGTGATATGGTGTGGTGCGGTGTGGTGTGGTGTGGTGTGGTGTGGTGTGGTCTGGTCTGGTCTGGTGTCTATTGGGGTGCTGCAAACGTCCTCTCCAGCTGATGGCGCCACCCTGTGGGCAGTGAAGCGCGCCAAGCTCATCACTAACGACTTTGACACCGAGGTATGTGTGGTGTGGTGTGGTGTGGTGTGGTGTGGTGTGGTGTGGTGTGGTCTGGTCTGGTCTGGTGTCTATTGGGGTGCTGCAAACGTCCTCTCCAGCTGATGGCGCCACCCTGTGGGCTGTGAAGCGCGCCAAGCTCATCACTAACGACTTTGACACCGAGGTCCGTGTGTGAAGGTGTAGCGTGGTGTGGTGTGTGTGCTGTGTGGTGCAGTGCGGTGTCTGTGCTGTAAGTGTCCTCTGCTGCTGATGGCAGCATTCTGTGGGCTGGCTGTGAAGCCTGCCCAGTTTTGAGGCGCCTCAAAAGGCATTCTGTGGGCTGGCTGTGAAGCCTGCCCAGTTTTGAGGCGCCTCAAAAGGCATTCTGTGGGCTGGCTGTGAAGCGCGCCAAGCTCTTCATCAATGACTCTAACACGAAGGTGTGCATGTGGGGGAGTGTGTGGATGTGTGATGCAGTGCCAAGGAACCTTGCAGTGGGGCTCACGAGGCAAGGCAGGATGAGACGGGCAACATATTGAGAGAGCACGTGTGCTTTAGCGTTTCTCCACTGCTGCCCCCCCTCACAGGTGTGCCAGATGGCATCGAAGCACCACCCCAACCTGGTGCGGCTGCTGGGGTTCGCCATAGGCATCACGGACAAGACCCGGGTGGAGCAGGTGCTCATCTACGACCTCATGTCCAATGGGGACCTCTCACACTGGATGGGCAAAGGTATGCGCCATGTTTTAGATCGCTGGAACAGGTGTGATTTGAATGGAAGAACTAATAAGGTGTGTTTAAGTTGAGACAAGACGCGTGTGGAGCAGCAGCTCATCCACCAGCTCATGCCCCATGGACACCTCTCGCACTGGATAAGCAAAGGTGTGGTTGGGGTGTGGTTCGGGAAGGGCGTGGTTCGGGAAGGGCGTGGTTCGGGAAGGGCGTGGTTCGGGAAGGGCGTGGTTCGGGAAGGGCGTGGTTCGGGAAGGGCGTGGTTCGGGAAGGATGTGGTTCGGGGAAAGGTGTGGTGCGTTTAACAAGTGGATGGAGAAACATGTTGATCGTGAGGATTAGTGCGTGAGCTGCTGTTGCTTCATGCGTCAAAGATTTAGACACCAAGTTACCTCTCTTGATGCAAGTTGCTTGCGACTAGCCACCTCTGATTGCTTAGACATCAAGGTTTGGCCTTGCCATCCCTGAGATAGCAAAATATGAGCACACACATTAATTCCCCCTGGTTCCGTTTACTACTGTGCCCTTCAAACGCCCCCACGCCACTGACCTTCCAGCAGCACATCCTCCTAACGGCTGCCCGGGGCGTTGAGTACAACAGAACAGAGCACCAGTAACCGGTTTCGTGGGGCACAATGGCACGTCCTTTCTGTGTTCCATCCCCATCACGCGTGTGTGCCCTCCAGACGCCCCCACGCCGCTGACCTTCCAGCAGCGGGTGGACATACTAATAGGGGCTGCGCGGGGCTTTGAGTACCTGCACAGCTTTGGCATCGTGCACCGCGACATCAAGCCCGCTAACATATTGCTCGACGGGAAAATGCAGGTGCGTGTGTGGTTGTGTGTGTGTGGGTGGGTGTGGGGTGAAGGTGGGGGCCGCGTGGCTTTGAGTACCTGCACAGCTTTGGCATCGTGCACCGCGACATCAAACCTGCTAACATATTGCTAGATGTAAACATGCAGGTGCGCGTGTGGGTGTGGGTGTGGGTGTATATGTACATACGTGTGTGTGTGGGTTGTTGTACCTGCACAGCTTTGGCATCGCGATATCAAGCCCGCTAACGTATTGTTAGATGGGAACATGCAGGTGCGCGTGTGGTTCTGTGGGTGTGTGTGTGTGGGTGCATGTGTGTGTATGTATGCGTGTTTGTGTGTGTGTGTGTGTGTGTGTGTATGTATGTGTGTGCATGTATGTGTGTGTATGTATGCGTGTGTTTGTGTGCATATTTGTGTGTGTTTGTGTTCATATTTGTGTGTGTTTGTGTTCATATTTGTGTGTGTTTGTGTTCATATTTGTGTGTGTTTGTGTTCATATTTGTGTGTGCATGTATGTGTGTGTTTGTGTGTGCATATATCCAAAAGTAGAGCAGAAACTTCATTGAATGTTGGCATGTTCATTGCAGCATGTGCATGTTCATTGCAGCATGTGCATGATCTGATCATGCACTGTTATGTCATGTGCATCATCTGATCATACATTGCTATGCCATGTGCATGATCTGATCATACATTGCTATACCATGTGCATGATCTGATCATACAATGTTATGCCATGTGCACTGCAGGCTAAGATTTCGGACTTTGGGCTGGTGAGGAAGGGAGAAGGCACGGCACTACTGAGCACGCGAGTGGTGGGAACACCAGGCTATGTGGATCCCTCCTACGCTGCTTCCAATAAGGCCACCACTGCCGCAGATGTGTACAGGTGAGCAATGGTGTTTGTAGGTGTGACATGGTCTGAAGGTGAGCAATGGCACTGAAGCTTGTATAGAGCACTTCATGTGTTTGTTGAGGGGACCCCCATGCAACACAAGAAGGGGGGTGGCGCTTCATTTAGGAGTGAATCGACAAGGGCCTGGCACTTGAAGTGTCACTTGACGCTTCATTGAAGGGAATCTTCAAGTGCCAGGCTTGACACTTCAAGTAAATCGGCAAGGGCCTGGCTTGACCATCACTTGAAGAAGGTCTGCTTGAAGTGTTGCTTCCACGTGCTTGCATTCTCTCGTGCTGTGCGCCTGCATGTGCAGCTTTGGCGCGGTGATGCTGGAGCTAATGACGGGGTGGGCAGCCGTGCAGGAGTCGCCAGCCCCTGGCGCTGACGAGGAGGCCAACTGCCCCGTGACCATCGTATCCTGGGTGAGTTGATAGCTTTGCGTCTGAACTTTAGCTAACAAACTCTACTCTGAAGCCATGCAATGTCTTCCACTGCTGGAAACTGGTGTTCCCTGGCGCTGACGAGGACGCCGACTGCCCCCTGACCATCGTATCCTGGGTGAGCTGCTGTTCTTCAGATGTAGCAAAGTTATAGAACCGCATCCATGCTTTGCAACGTATTCCATCCACTGCTGGTGAGGAGGCCAACTGCCCCCTGACAATCGTTTTCTGAGTGAGTTCCTATTCTTCCGATGTAAGTAACGGATTCAAAAGTTCTGCCGCACAATTTATTTCCCTGCTGAATGGTGGTGTTTTCTAGCACTGTTGAAGAGGCGAATTGACTAATGAACATCATATGTTGGGAGGGTTGCTCCTCATTCCAAACCCCTCAAACACCTTTTCCTGTTGAAGTTGTTCCCTGTAGTGTGTCTCTCCTCCTCGATGCCTCTAGATACATACATACATATACATATATCTCTTATATTAATCTCATATATATATATATATATATCTCTTTTTTAACTCGTTACATTAGGTCCAACAGCAGCTGCCTCCATGCGGCAGTGCGCTGCGGTGCACAGCTAGGCACACTGCCGCCCGGCCTGACATGGGTATTGTTGCAGCATAGCTGGGCGAGGTCATGGTGGAGCCTGGTGATCCACACTTCATCTAGTGCCTGCCCGTCTTCTGCCTTGCAATCCTTTGAGGACGTCTGCTTCTATTATCCCTGTATTCATCCGTCGTCTCATCAGGTGGAGCCGCAGCTCCAACAACACTCGGCAGCAGCCAGCCTTTGGTCTCAAGGACCCGCGATTGGAGGCACAGGAGAGCCTTGTGCTAGCCGTGGTGCCGTTGCCCCGAAAGCCTGGAATCCATACTTTTTGCCTCCCCCGAACCCTTCCTTTCCACAACAGGTGGAGCAGCAGCTCCAACAATCCAGCAACGGGCCAGTACCTGGTCTCCAGGACCCGCATATGCCAGCACGGGAGGACCTCGTGCTGGCCGTGGTGCGGTTGGCGCTGCGGTGCACTGCCAGGCGCACTGCCGCCCGGCCTGACATGGGCGCAATCGCAGCAGAGCTGAGTGCGGTGATGGCAGAGCTGGGGGGGTCAAGGAGGAACGCTGCGGCAGAGGAGGTGGATAGGCAGATGCAGGAGGTTCAACCCATGAGAAGCATGGAGGAGGAGTTTTCTCGGATAGAAGCCCGGTTCCAAGGTAGCCAAAGTGACTCATACGCTCGCTTAGACCTGGTTTGAGTGCGGTGTTGGCAGAGCTGGGGGGGTCGAGGAGGAACGCTGCGGCGGAGGAGGTGGATAGGCAGATGCAGGAGGTTACACCCGTGAGAAGCATGGAGGAGTTTGCTCAGATAGATGCCCGGTTCCAAGGTAGTCAAAGTGACTCATACGCTCGCCTAGACATGCCTTTAGTGTAGAAAACCCATTGAATGGTCTATTTTAGTGGTACGTGGTTTTGCCATTTTATTTCCTAATTAGTCTAATTAGTTCAAAGGCAGTTTTGCAACCCTGCTTCACTCAGTAGCTTGCCCTCTTAGGAGCAGACCCAATCTAACAAATAGGAGTGAATATGAGGGCGCATTCCTACAGATGCAGGTGGCTGTAACTCTTGGTCTTTCCGGTTACCCAGTACAAGAAGTCGCCCACTGTTCGCCTCGAGTCAGTTTCCAGTTTCCTAGGGAGCGAAGTGCACTCAAATGGAGCCATCATCAGGCATACTTGTGCTTATTGCTGCTGGGCTGGTGAGGTGTGAGTGTGACGGAACAGCACGAATAGCCAGTTGACCTGCGCGTGCCTGCCAATTTGGATAGTCCTAGGTAATTTCCGCGTCGCGCTAGTTCATAACGCGCTAGTTAGAAAAATAGTTTCCAAACGTGATATTTTCTTCTTCTTTACCTGCGTTGACCCTGGTTTCGCGCGTCGTACCGCCGTGGGCATCATCCTACGTTCGTTGTAGTAACTATTGGACTATTAGATACCCTACGACGTGCGTTAGTGGACTAAAGAAAGGAACCGTCTTGGCGAACTGGTGCACTCAGCGCCGTTTTAAAGTTATTAACGAGTTGTGCTAAAGCGAAACGTGTTGCAACCGGGAGCCGCAGTACCTACAGCTACTAGGAAGGACGAACAAGGCATTCCGCGCGCGCCAGGCGTGAAGTCTTTAACTAGCCCTGAAAGTTCCTACCACCGCGACACGGAAGCCATGAATCGCGGCGGCACCCCTGCGTCAGACCGCGCCGCCGCGCGCCAGCATCATCAGGCGCGGCGCGGGGACGACCACCACGAGCCGCCTTCGGCGCCGTCAACGGTCACAAAGCCGGCGCGGCGGCGCGTGGTAATCTCCGCGGCGGAAGTGCGGCGGCTGAACACGCAGGCGGGGCAGTTGCGCGAGGTGTTGGGGAAGAGCAAGGCGGTGAGCGAGGAGATGATCACCATTCTCAACACCTTCGACGCGCGCCTCACCAACCTCGAAACCGCCATGCGCCCCATCCAGGTGCGAACGCTGTCGCATGCGGGTGGGAGTGAGGAGTTGTGCTACAGAGGGGAGATGGCATTAGGGTGTGAGTACAGTTAGCGTGTGATAGCGGCTGCAATGCATTGCCGTGATGTGAATTGCCGGAAAGTCCCTGCGACGATTACCCATCTCAGTAATCCCCCCCCTTCCCCTCTCCCCTCCTCCAGGCGCACACGTTGGCGTTCCGCAAGGCGCACGCAAAATCGCATCCCTTCCCAACCATTCCCCCTATCTCCCCCATCTCCCATCCCTTCTCCCCTCCCCCTCCCCTCCCCCAGGCGCGCACATTGGCGTTCCGCAAGGCGCACGCCAACATCGACGCCACCATCCCCCCATCTTAACCACCCCCCAACCCCGCATCCCCCCATCCCCCCATTCCCCAATTTCCTCCCCCCTTCCTCCCCCCCTCCCCCAGGCGCGCACTCTGGCCTTCCGCAAGGCGCACGCCAACATCGACGCCACCATCCGCGCCGTGGAGACAGTGCTGGATAAGTTTGACATTCCTCAACAGGTGAAGGAGGGGGGCGCTGGTAGTTGGGCAGGTGGGGCAGTCAGTCGCAGGGGGGGCAGTATGCATGGCACGGTAGGTACAGACAGACGGCAGCAGTGCAGCACCGAGGCGGGTATCCGCGCTGTGGAGACGGTGCTGGACAAGTTGGACATCCCGCAGGCAGCAGGTGGGGCTGGGAGGGGGCGTGGCGCCGTGCTGCATGCTGGGGTGGTGGTATGCATGGTACGGCGGGTTTAGGGCAGCAGCGAGCACCGTGGAGACGGGGCTAGATAAGCTTGACATCCCGCGGCAGGTGGGGGGCGCTGGGCGTGCTGTGCTGTGCTGGGGTGGTGTACGCACGCTGGTGGGCAGGTGGGGGGATGGCAGCTGGTGGGGGGGTGTGAGCAGCAGGTGGGTGCGGTTGGGGAGCGGCGTGGTGGAGTGGTGTGCATGCCGGTAGGCTGGTGGTCAGGTGGGGTGGGTCGGTGGGCTGGAGAGTCGAGTCGGTAGCATGTGGGACGCGGGGCATGGGGGCCAGCAGCAGGTGGGGCGGTGTGTGAGACGGCGGTGGGGTGGCTGACAGGTGGGGCGGTAGGCTGATGGGATGGGACAGTCAAGGAGCTGCGGGCCTGCGGCAGGACGGTCAGCCGAACGCCCTTCAAGCACACCATTCTGCAGGCAGGGGTCTCTGCGGACCTAGCAGCAACAGACTGTTTTATAGGCGCTTCAACCACGACCTAGCAGCAGTAGGCATGCTACAGGAGGGAGGCGCTGCTGTGCCCTCACTTGTGAGAATTCTCAGAAATGATGCTACAAGCGCCGCATTAACTGCACGGTCTCCGCGTTCTCCCCTCCCATGTGTGTTACCCCCTTTAACCGGTATGTGGAGCAGAGGGCATATCTTACAGCAGCAGTGGGCATTCTTCAGAATGCTCTTCTTTGACTTGCATCGCAACCACAAGCCCTTCTTTAACCCCCCAATGGACGTCTATGACAGGTGGAGCAGCGAATCAAGGATGGTCCGCGTAGAGACTTGGAAGCATACCTAGCAGCGGTGGACATGCTACAGGAGGCGCTGCTGTTCTTTGACTCGCACCGCAACTACAAGTCGTCAGAGGGCGCGGCTCTGCAGGCGCGCGGGCTGATGAAGGAGGCCATGGGCATGCTTGAAGCTGACTTCCGGCAGCTGCTCGCCAACAACAGGTGGGTGGTGTGGTAGGAGCAGTTTGGTGCGTGGTGTGTGTGTGCAGCAGGCTGAAGGGGCATGCAGCTCCCCTCTCTGCAGGCGCGAGGGCTGATGAAGGAGGCCATGGGCATGCTTGAAGCTGACTTCCGCCAGCTTCTTGTGAATAACAGGTGGGTCTAGGGTACGGGCAGTGTGGTGTGTGGTAGCAGTGGTTTAGTTTAGGTCGAGGGGACATGCAACTCTCTCTGCAGTCGCGCGGCTTATGAAGGAGGTTGTGGGCTGCTGACCAATAACAGGTGCGTGGGGGTCTAGAATCTGGGCTCTGGACTCACTTGATCCCACGCCCGCTCACCCGCTCGCTTTGCATCTCCTCCCCCCTCCCTAACTCTCCTTCCCTCTCATTCCCTCCTCGTTTTCTCCTATCACCTTTTCTTCCTCTCCTGCCCCCTTTCTCCCCATGCTACCCCTCCCCTGCTCTCCTCTTCCCCCTCCCCACACGTGCAGCAAGCCCATGGACGTGTTGAAGATCATAGAGGCCATGCCAGAGCTGGGAATTGATCTCGCGGGGCTGCCACCGCCGGCACAGACGCCGGAGAACCTCATTCCGGGCATCGGGCCCAGCAAGGGAGGCAAGGGGCCGCCCGTGCTGCTGCTGCCCACGCTTATTGAGCGGTTGAATGCGGTGGCGCGGCGCATGATTCAGAACGGGGCGGCTTCCGTGTGCACGCGCGTGTACAGGTATGGACAGGCGGAGGCGTGGTTTTGAGTGCGGTGCCAATGGGGCGAGAGGCGTGTGAGTGTTGACGAGGGCAAGTGGGGGCAATGGGGTTCAGCACGGGCGGCAAGGGAGCCTTCATGCCCGTGCTGCTGCTGCCCACGCTGATAGAGCAGTTGAATGCGGTGGCGAGGCGCATGATTCAGAACGGGGCGGCTTCCGTGTGCACTCGCGTGTACAGGTATGGACAGGCGGAGGCGTGGTTTTGAGTGCGGTGCCAATGGGGCGAGAGGCGTGTGAGTGTTGACGAGGGCAAGTGGGGGCAATGGGGTTCAGCACGGGCGGCAAGGGAGCCTTCATGCCCGTGCTGCTGCTGCCCACGCTGATAGAGCAGTTGAATGCGGTGGCGAGGCGCATGATTCAGAACGGGGCGGCTTCCGTGTGCACTCGCGTGTACAGGTAGGGATGAGCGAAGGACGTGTGGGTGGTTGTGTGCGGTGTGGATGGGAGAGGTGTGTGAAGATGAAGGGGCGTGGATGGGCGTGCGGTGTGGATGGGCGAGAGGTGAGGGTGGTTGAGTGCGGTGTGGATGGGCGAGAGGCGAGGGTGGTTGAGTGCGGTGTGGATGGGTGGACGAGAAATGTCTGAATATGAGAAGTTGTTGCGATTGAGGACGAGCATCACCATTCCCCAACTCGTCCCTTCCCCATCACCATCACCAGCCCAGGGAGGTGCGAGGCAACTCGTTGGAGCAGTCGCTGAAGCGCCTGGGCGTAGAGACGGCGACTCCCTCTTTTCTCTACTCCCCGCTCCTCATCCCACCCCACCCTTGCTCCTCCTTCCTTTCTTCCTTCCCTTTCCCCGCTCTCCCCCAGGGAGGTGCGAGTCAGCGCGTTGGAGCAGTCGTTGAAGCGCCTAGGTGTCTGTCGAGATGGTGACTCCCTCTTTCTGCCTCTCCCCCTTCCCCATCCCACCACTCCCTCCCTTGGTCCCTCGTTTCTCCCGTCCTCTCTCCCCCAGGGAGGTGCGAGGCAACTCGTTGGAGCGCCTGGGCGTGGAGATGGTGACGCGGGACGATGTGTTGCCTCTTCCATTCCCCCGCTCCCTCCCCCCCATTCCGATCTCCTTCTCCCCTTCCTGCCCTCTCCCCTTCCCCCTGTTCTTGCCTCCCCCCCCCAGGGAGGTGCGAGGCAACTCGTTGGAGCAGTCGTTGAAGCGGCTGGGAGTGGAGATGGTGACACGGGACGATGTGTTGCGCATGCAGTGGGAGGAGCTGGAGACCAAGATCGGCAACTGGATCCAGTTCATCAAGATCTGCGTGAGTGGGCCATACTTGACGTGAGAGTAGGCCCATATGCTATGCGTGAGTGCGGATAAGAGATCTCCTACGCAGAGATGGGCGACCGCGGCCTCTCCCTGCTGCTCTCCTTGCCTCTGCTGCTGCTGCTGCTGCTGCTGCTGCTGCTGCTGCTGCTGTCCCACCACTCACTTCTTCCCCCCTCCCTGCTTCCCCTCTTCCTCTTCCCCACCGCCCCACTCACCCCTCCAGATGATGCTGGTGTTCCCGCTAGAACGAGAGCTATGCTACCAGGTGTTTGCAGGTCTGGACCCGCACAGGGAGATCTCCTCCCCACCCCCCTGCTGCTCCCCCACCCCTCCCCCTCATCCCCACCGCCCAACCCTTCCCAACAGATGATGCTGGTCTTCCCATTGGAGAGGGAGCTATGCTACCAGGTGTTCGCGGGCCTGGACCCGCACAGGGAGATCTCCTACGCTGAGATGGGCGACCGCGGCCTCTCGCTGCTGCTGTCCTTCGGCGAGGCCATCGCGTCCAGTCAGAAGTCCCCCGAGAAGCTCTTTGTGCTGCTCGACATGTACGAGACCATCAGAGATTCCATGCCCATGGTGAGATGATGCCATGCCATGGTGAGATGATGCCATGCCATGGTGAGATGATGCCATGCCATGGTGAGATGATGCCATGCCATGGTGAGATGATGCCATGCCATGGTGAGATGATGCCATGCCATGGTGAGATGATGCCATGCCATGGTGAGATGATGCCATGCCATGGTGAGATGATGCCATGCCATGGTGAGTCTCCATGTGTCCGTCCTCCCCTTCTTGTCTAGGACAAGTGCTTTTCACTCACCTGCTGCTCTTTTGCTGCTCGACATGTACGAGACCATTCGGGATTCCATGCCCATGGTGAGTCCCCCTTTCTCCTCCTACATCCCCATCTCTTCGCTCGGGTAAGCATCCCTCACATGAGCTCTCTGTGCTCGACATGTACGAGACCTTACGAGCCTCCTCCATCCATGCTCATTGTGAGGAGCAGAGGAGCCATTCTTATCATAAGGAGCCTCTGTTGACCTATGGTGACTAGGTAGGAAGGAAGGAGGGGGCATGTTGCATTGCATGTCCATGGTCGACACTTTCCCCAGCAGGGCAGGGCGTGCGTCCATTCCATACCACGAGTACCTGTGCTGCGTTCCCTTCAACGCACTCTGACTGGCGTGTACCTTTTGAGAATCATAAAAAATGATGTGTTCACCCTTTCCTCCCTCCCCTTCATTTTTACCATTTTTTTCGCGTCCCCCTCCGCCCCAGGTGACCGACGCCTTCCCAGGCAACGCGTGCATCCCGTGTCGCGAGTACCTGCGCTCGCTGCAGCGCAGCCTGGCGGAGATCAGTCGGGACACGTTCAGCGAGTTTGAGGACGCCGTGGAGAAGGACAGCACGCGCACACCCGTGGCGGATGGCACCGTGCACCCGCTCACCAGCTACGTCATCAACTACGTCAAGTTCCTCTTCGAGTGCGTATGGTTCTGCGCGGTGATGTGCGGTGATGTGCGGTCGTGTGGGTGACGCTGTGCCTCCCCAAGGCACCATGCACCCGCTCACTGGCTACGTATCAAGTTCCTCTTCGAGTGCGTACTGTCTGGTTCTCTGAGGTTCTGTGCGGTTCTGTGCGGTGATGTGCGGTTCTGTGGTTGACACTGTGTGCATCCCCAACGCGCCGTACACCCGTTCACCGGCTACATCATCGCGTTTCCCCCCGCTCCTCCCTCCCTCCCCTCTCTTCCATCCCCCAGTTATGAAGGCACGTTAAGGCAACTCTTCGAGGAAGCAGAGAAGGAGAGGGGTGAGAAGGACTGGCAGGGCGGGGACCCGTCGGCACGGCAGAAGCCGCGGTTGGAGGTGGCAACGCTGCGCATCCTGACAGTGCTGGAGAGCAACCTGGAGGCCAAGGCGAAGCTGTACAAGGACCTGGCGCTCACACAGCTGTTCCTCATGAACAACAAGCACTACATCGTTCGCTCCATTCGCAAGTGAGTGGGGTGCGGTGCGGTGCGGTGTGGTGCGGTGCGGTGCTGTGCGGTGCTTGGAGGCCAAGGCGAAGCTGTACAAGGACCTGGCGCTCACCCAGCTCTTCCTCATTAACAACAAACTCTACATCGTTCGGTCTATTCGCAAGTGAGTGCTGAGAGAGCGGGAGGCAGTGCACTGCACTGCACTGCACTGCACTGCACTGCACTGCACTGCACTGCACTGCACTGCACTGCACTGCACTGCCTGGCGCTCACACAGCTGTTTCTCATGAACAGCAGGCATTACATCGTGCGCTCCATTCTGCAAGTGAGTTCTGGGAGAGAGAGAGGCAAACACTGCATTTCACTGCACCGCACTGCACCCCTGACCTTGCAGGTCGGGGCATGCGAGGCAGTTGGTGGGGGAGGAGTGGATTCAGCAGCTGTTTATTGCCATGCCATGTCGCCACCCACCACCCCCTCCCCCTGCTTACCCTGTCTGTCTCCCTCCCTCTCTCCGCCTCCCTCCCCTTCCCCTCCCCCCCCCCTCTGCAGGTCGGAGCAGGCGCGGCAGCTGGTGGGGGAGGAGTGGATACAGCCGCTGTGCTGCCGTTTCCTCCATCCTTATTGCCACGTCGCCACCCCCTACCTCTCCTCTCTGTACGCACCCCTCCCCCCCCCCTCTGCAGGTCGGAGCAGGCGAGGCAGCTGGTGGGGGAGGAGTGGATACAGCGGCATCGCAAGATAGTGCAGCAGCAGCAGGCCATGTACCAGAAGCTGGCGTGGAGCAAGGTGGGGATGAGTGAGAGGGATGGGGGGTGAGGGCATGGAAAGAGAGAGTCACGGCGCAGTGCAGCAGCAGCAGGCCATGCACCAGAAGCTGGCGTGGAGCAAGGTGGGTGGGAGGGGGGGAAGAGAGGGGAAGAACATGAGCAGAGAGCAAGGTGAGAGCAGCACAGTGCAGGGAGGTTAGAGTGTATGAGATGAGCAGTCCAGTGCAGCAGCAGGCCATGCACCAGAAGCTGGCGTGGAGCAAGGTGGGTGGGAGGCGGGTTCGGGGGAGAAGGGCATGGGAGAGGAGAGAGTGTGCATGGGTCACACAGTGCCCTGCAGCGTCTGGAAACACTGGTGCCTTTTGAGTGGACTCAAAAGTCAACTCAGCATCAGGGAACACTGGTGCCTTTTGAGTGGACTCAAAAGTCAACTCAGCATCAGGGAACACTGGTGCCTTTTGAGTGGACTTGCAAGTCAACTCAGCATCAGGGAACACTGGTGCCTTTTGAGTGGACTTGCAAGTCAACTCAGCATCAGGGAACACTGGTGCCTTTTGAGTGGACTCAAAAGTCAACTCAGCATCAGGGAACACTGGTGCCTTTTGAGTGGACTTGCAAGTCAACTCAGCATCAGGGAACACTGGTGCCGCCGCGATCATCGTGGGATGGGATGGGATGGGATGGGATGGGATGGGATGGGATGGGATGGGATGGGATGGGATGGGATGGGATGGGATGGGATGGGATGGGATGGGATGGGATGGATCAGAAGGCCCCTCCCTCCCAGCATGCGACACTCCTTCCCGCCCCTCCTCGTGTCCCCCACACGCTGTGCTGTGCCATCAGGTGCTGGGCATGCTAAGCGTGCACTGAGATACCTACTCACCACACTCCATCCATCCCATCCCATCCCACCATGCCCCATCTCAGCATGCGCCATCCCAGCATGCGCCATCCCAGCATGCGCCATCCATCCCATCCCATCCCAGCACATCCCATCCCCCCTCCCTCCTGGTGTGTCTCCCCCCCCCCACGCACTGTGCCCCCCACCAGGTGCTGGCCGTGCTGACCCTGCAGTGAGCAAGGCTCAATCTCGGCCCTAAACCTTAAATCCCAAACCCTTCACCTTAAACCCTAAAACCCGAACCCTTCTGCTCTTCCCCCTACGCACTGTGCCCCCACCGGACCAGGTGCTGACCCTGCTGAGCCCGCATTGAGCAAGGCTCAATCTAGGCCCTAAACCCTAAACCCGAAACCCTTCTGCTCTCCCCGCCCACCACTGTGCCCCTCACCAGGTGCTGACCGTGCTGAGCCCGGTGGGGGAGTTGATAAACAAAAACACCCTCAAGGAGAGGTGAGTGGGCTCAGTGGGTTGTTGTACCTATGAGAGGTGTTTCCCTGTTGTGACAAGAGTATTTTGGTGTGTTGTAAATGTGCGTGTGTAGACTGTAGTTGCCATGCCTATATGCCCTGACCCCCACCACTCACACACACACACACACACACACACACACACACACACACACCAACACACACACCTCCTTTTTCCCGGGCTCCCTTGTGTGTGTGATGCCTTGGCAGGCTGAAGGTTTTCAACGCTGCGTTTGAGGAGCAGTACAACAAGCAGGTGCGTGTGTGGGTGTGTGCGTGTGTGCGTGTGTGCGTGGGTGCGTGTGTGCGTGTGTGCGTGTGTGCGTGGGTGCGTGTGTGCGTGTGTGTGTGTGTGTGTGTGTGTGTGTGTGTGTGCGTGTGTGCGTGTGTGCGTGTGTGCGTGTGTGCGTGTGTGCGTGTGTGCGTGTGTGCGTGTGTGCGTGTGTGCGTGTGTGCGTGTGTGCGTGTGTGCGTGTGTGCGTGTGTGCGTGCGTGCGTGCGTGCGTGCGTGCGTGCGTGCGTGCGTGCGTGCATGTGCGTGTGCGCGTGTGCGCGTGTGTGCCTGTGTGCCTGTGTGCCTGTGTGCCTGTGTGCCTGTGTGCCTGTGTGCCTGTGTGCCTGTGTGCCTGGGTGCCTGGGTGCCTGTGTGCGCGGGTGCGCGGGTGCGCGGGTGCGCGGGTGCGCGGGTGCGCGTGTGCGCGTGTGCGCGTGTGCGCGTGTGCGCGTGTGCGCGTGTGCGCGTGTGCGCGTGTGCGCGTGTGCGCGTGTGCGCGTGTGCGCGTGTGCGCGTGTGCGCGGTTGCGAGTGTGCGAGTGTGCGAGTGTGCGTGTGTGCGTGTGTGCGTGTGTGCGTGTGTGCGTGTGTGCGAGTGTGCGTGTGTGCGTGTGTGCGTGTGTGCGTGTGTGCGTGTGTGCGTGTGTGCGTGTGTGTGTGTGTGCGTGTGGGTGCGTTTGAGGAGCAGTACAACAAGCAGGTGCATGTGTGTGTGTGGGTGTATGTGCGAGCGAGTGCATCCGCGTGCATCTGTGTAACATAAACGCATGCTACACAATACTCTGGCCACTGTTAGATTGCTGTAACATTCTGGTAACATTGTTACCAGATCCGTACACCCCTTACTTGTGCTGTGCCGTCCCAGAAGTCACTTGCAACTCGCCACTGTGCCCCACTTGCTACTCCTCCCCCTCACCGCTCCTCCCCCTCACCGCTCCTCCCCCTCACCGCTCCTCCCCCTCACCGCTCCTCCCCCTCACCGCTCCTCCCCCTTACCGCTCCTCCCCCTCACCGCTCCTCCCCCTCACCGCTCCTCCCCCTCACCGCTCCTCCCCCTCACCGCTCCTCCCCCTCACCGCTCCTCCCCCTCACCGCTCCTCCCCCTCACCGCTCCCCCCCCTCACCGCTCCTCCCCTCACCGCTCCTCCCCCTCACCACCCCTCCCCCTCACCACCCCTCCCCCTCACCGCCCCTCTATCTCAGCTCACATGGACCATTCCGGACGCGGAGCTACAGAGGGCGATGCGCCAGGCAGTCATATCAAGGCGCCATGATGCACAAACGCCCCCTAACCCTTCTCCTCCCCCTCACCGCCCCTCTATCTCAGCTCACATGGACCATTCCGGACTCAGATCAGAGCTGCAGAAGGTGGTGCGCCAGGCTGTCATCCACCAGGTGCTGTGATGCACTAACCCTCCCATCCCCACCTCCATTCCCCCCCAGCCACCACCCACTCCTCTCTGCGCCCCAACCAGCTCACATGGGCCATTCCAGACGCGGAGCTACAGAAGGCGGTTCGCCAGGCTGTCATGGGAAGACTTGTTGATGCATTATCCCCTCCCCCTCTCCTCTATGCCGTTCTTCTCCCCTCTACCGCAGCTCACATGGACCATTCCAGACGCGGACGGAGCTACAGAAGGTGGTGCGCCAGGCTGTCAGGGCAAGACCGCCTTGACGCGTACCCCCCTTTCCCTCCACCCCACTCCCCTCCGCGCCCCAACCAGCTCACATGGACCATCCCAGACGCAGAGCTACAGAAGGTGGTGCGCCAGGCTGTCATCGACCAGGTGCTGCCTGCCTACCGTGACATGCTCAAGCGCTACGGGTGAGTGAACGGTGCTCAGAGGTCCTGTGCGGTGCTGTTGTGGCTGATGCTTGGGGTTGATGGCAGTCATCGACCAGGTGCTGCCTGCCTACCGTGACATGCTCAAGCGCTACGGGTGAGTGAACGGTGCTCAGAGGTCCTGTGCGGTGCTGTTGTGGCTGATGCTTGGGGGTGATGGCAGTCATCGACCAGGTGCTGCCTGCCTACCGTGACATGCTCAAGCGCTACGGGTGAGTGAACGGTGCTCAGAGGTCCTGTGCGGTGCTGTTGTGGCTGATGCTTGGGGTTGATGGCAGTCATCGACCAGGTGCTGCCGGCCTACCGTGACATGCTCAAGCGCTACGGGTGAGTGAACGGTGCTCAGAGGTCCTGTGCGGTGCTGTTGTGGCTGATGCTTGGGGGTGATGGCAGTCATCGACCAGGTGCTGCCTGCCTACCGTGACATGCTCAAGCGCTACGGGTGAGTGAACGGTGCTCAGAGGTCCTGTGCGGTGCTGTTGTGGCTGATGCTTGGGGGTGATGGCAGTCATCGACCAGGTGCTGCCTGCCTACCGTGACATGCTCAAGCGCTACGGGTGAGTGAACGGTGCTCAGAGGTCCTGTGCGGTGCTGTTGTGGCTGATGCTTGGGGGTGATGGCAGTCATCGACCAGGTGCTGCCTGCCTACCGTGACATGCTCAAGCGCTACGGGTGAGTGAACGGTGCTCAGAGGTCCTGTGCGGTGCTGTTGTGGCTGATGCTTGGGGGTGATGGCAGTCATCGACCAGGTGCTGCCTGCCTACCGTGACATGCTCAAGCGCTACGGGTGAGTGAACGGTGCTCAGAGGTCCTGTGCGGTGCTGTTGTGGCTGATGCTTGGGGTTGATGGCAGTCATCGACCAGGTGCTGCCGGCCTACCGTGACATGCTCAAGCGCTACGGGTGAGTGAACGGTGCTCAGAGGTCCTGTGCGGTGCTGTTGTGGCTGATGCTTGGGGTTGATGGCAGTCATCGACCAGGTGCTGCCTGCCTACCGTGACATGCTCAAGCGCTACGGGTGAGTGAACGGTGCTCAGAGGTCCTGTGCGGTGCTGTTGTGGCTGATGCTTGGGGTTGATGGCAGTCATCGACCAGGTGCTGCCGGCCTACCGTGACATGCTCATGCGCTACGGGTGAGCGGTGCTCTGCGATGCCCATATGTGCTGATTGGTGCCGAGGGGGGTGACGGGTGGTGTGGTTATGGGTGCTGTGCGGTGCTGCTGGGACTCTTATGCATATAGATAGAAAGGTGTGATGGCAGTCATCGACCAGGTGCTGCCTGCCTACCGCGACACGGGTGAGTGGTGCTCAGGGATGCTGTGTGGTGGTGAGGGACGCCGTGTGCTGCTGTTGTTGCTACAAAACGAAGGTACGGTAATTGCAGCCGCAAGGGTGATTGATCCTCACCGCCTTCACACGATGTTGCATAATTGCCATGCTTCAAGAAATTTGTCCATTGTGCCAACACCATCCCTGATGGACGCGTTTGGACTCTCGCCGACCACTTCAAACACCACCTGGTCACTCTTCCTCTCTCCCCTCCCCTCCCCTCCCCTCTCGTCCCCCCATCCCCCCTCCCCCTTACTCCCCCTCCTTTCCCCCCCTCCGTCTCCCCTCAGCCCGGTGGTGGATGCGCTGAAGAATCTCGCCAAGCACGTCAAGTATCAGCCGGAGGACATCGAGCGTCTCATCCGGCAGCTCTTTGAGGGCCGCCAGGTGGTAGGCGAGGCCAGCAAGGGCAAGGCCTCGCTGCTCAAGTAGACGTGTTTGGTTCGAACATGCTGTGTGATGTCCGTTGAAATTGAGAGTGTGCATGTAGAAAGCGGATTTTTCTTTCGTGTAAAGACCTAACAAATGTATGGATTTTTGTCTGGATGTTACGTGCTTGTATTCTACCAAAATAGTTATTTTCTCTTGTGTTTTCAGCTTCCAGAACAAAGTGACATGTACCGTTCTCATAAAAGCGTATTTTCTTTTGCGTAGAAACGGGTGTGAGTCTCTGGGAGAGGCTGTGTGATGGGGCAGTCTCAATTTTGGCCTTGGTTGGGGCTGTCCCGTCTGAGGTTTCTCATTCGCCAAAATAAACCACACTAGCGCCGCATTGGTTGTCATTTTCGTAACCTCTCCATTTCATCCTCGGGCAGCCACGATCAGCCCATCCCGGTTTGAAAGGCTGACCATGGCAACTTCGCCGCCAGTAGGACGGTGCGCCACGCGATGTTTGCGACTCGATCCCTGGTTTGGGTTTGCAGCCTCGGGGGTCTGGAATCTTCCAAACCTGTTGAGAGCAAGTGCAATTCGTGTTTACCAAAACCAAACTTGTTGTCTCTAGGTATCCCAAACCTTGTTGATTGGCCGACGCGGGGGCCGCAACCGGTTGCGGTCTTGTATGGCTCCTCCATCCAAACGTAGAGACGACGACGATAAGCTGATGGGCCAGGGCGAGCAATGTACCAGGGCGTGAAGTATGGCTTTTGGGGGTTGCGAAGGGCTTGAGAATTGAGACTCATACTCGTGAAAAATGTTCAACCCGTTTCAAATCTACCTGCACCGTACTCTATAGCCCAATGACACAACTGGGGTCAGAAACATATCGAATGGGTCAGAAAAATATCGAATGCTGCTGCATTCACCAATCGTTGTTTCCAAAACCAATCGAGCTCCCCCCCCCCCCCCCCCCAGCCCCCCTCTCATCGTCAGCCCCATCCCCAGCAATTTCGGCTGTAATGTGTGCCACCCTGCTGTGTGGTGTGGTGGAGCAGTGCCTGCGGCAGCGGCAGCGGCAGCACCCACCCACTTACCGACATAGTTGCCTTCGCGACATCTTGATTCTTTAGCCACCCGTCGCTCGCACATCCTAGGACCGTATGATAAGTGACGCGTCGACGCTCCGCCCACCACTTAAATGACGAACGTTTGCTTATCAGGCGCCTTATCTGAACCGAACTTCGCTTCGAGCAAGCCGCGACCGATACTCCAATCTGCGCCGATTGAGGCCCAAATTGAGCGAGAATTCCCGACGCTTCAACCTCCAAACTTTTAGGACACAAAGGGTTTTCTCGGAAGATAAAACTGCCTCTCACTTGTCAAAATTACCGGATCTCATCAGAGTTGGGTCTTAGCGACGTGTCATCATGACGTCAGCGACGGGAAGGCGGCGAACGAAGGCCGCGGTTGGCGCGGCCCTCCTGCTGGTGCTCCTCGCCAGCACCTTCGTGGAAACCGCGGTCGCGGTGAGCCGGAAGGACGTGCGGCTCGCGCTGCAGAAGATTCGGCGAAACCCGCGCCTTCAACGTCGGAACTTCAAAAAGTTCTTTCAAAAGTTCGGTAAGTACTAGCATTTTGCTAATGTTACCCCACGATATCATCTTATTAGACTCTCAGTGACGATGCGCGGGCGCCAGCCGGACGAGAAGCATCCACGTCGCCTCAATCCACCGACAACTTGCATCACCACCTCCCAGCCCCCAACCCCCCGCTCCCCTAATCTCCCTGTCGCTTTCGCCTCGTTTCCCGTTTATGTTCCCCCCATTCTACCCTCGTGTTCCCCTCGTTTTCCCCGGAATCTCCCTCGTTCTCCCCTCATCTTCCTCTCGCGTCCCCCTGGTGTCCTATTCACCTTCCCCCCATAATCGCTTGATGTTCCCCTGATGTTCCCCCATTTCCCATTTCCCCCCATGTCCCTCACGTTCCTCTGCCATGCTTCCCCATTCTCTCAGCACAGCTGCCCTCTCTCACGTACACGCCCTGACCACTGCTGATGTAAAGGACTCTCCTCTACTTTGCAGGAACTGGGAATTGTTCTAAGCAATAGAGCACACTCTTGGCTTTCCAAGGAGCCGTAGAACACGTAATTCGCCCAAGTATCGGCTGAGATACGGCTTTCAACGTGCTAGGTAGTGCTCTAAGATTGAAGGATAGAAAGTCTCTGGATTTTGTGTCGAGTTGAACTGTGTATAGAAAACTCTGATTTTCAGTATATCATGCATACAAAGCAATCACAATATATAGCTACTCAAAACATCGAGTCGCGCATGTAACATACGAGATGCATCGAGAACATTCGCGTAACAATTCGAAGGGGTGAAATTCGGCACCCGAATTTCACCGAACCGAATTCTTCCTTAGTCTCGATCCTTCTTGTGTTGCCATGTGGCACCAATTGAGTGGGTCTTCCGAAGTCAACCCACACACTTCGTGAAACCTGCAGCTCTCTCAAGCGGTGAGCACCGAAACACATTCGGTGGGTTGGGGGCATATCAATTGCCCCACCACCGTTTGCTTCTAACTCACGCGACCTCCAACAACTGCCACACTACACCACACCGCACCTACAGCCCTGCCTTCATGCGTCCCTCGCCCGATCCATCGCTCTAGACAAACACGACCCCCTTCCATTCGTCTCCTCCCACTCCCGTCCGCGCTTGTCCCCTCACGCTCTTCCTCCCCACCAACCCTTACACCATGCACACAGCCTATTCAGCTGGCTACACCCTTCCATTCTTTGCACTTCTTGGTCCAAACAACATTGCCCTTTTGTTCTCCTTCTTTCCCCTCCTCTCTCCCCCTCGTGCAGTGCTCCTAGCCATGAACCAGAAGGGCCCCATCACGCTCTTCCTCCCCACGGACCCCTACACCATGTACACGGCCTACTCAGCTGGCTACACTGCTCAAGACTTCGCCACTCTCGGCAAGAACAACATGATTCCCGAGCACCATCCGTACAAGGACTTTGTGCATGATGCTGCGGGTACAACCTACACCACAGTGCTGGGCGAGAAGGTGAAGAAGTGGAATGGTAAGCGCACAAAATTGGTGGCTTTGCAGGCAGCCAAGGGCCTGCCTAGTCTTGTTATATGGCCCAACATGTTCCAAGGGGATACTCTCGTGATTCACCTCGTGTCCCTAGCTTTGATTCCGTCATCCATGTGATACTATGTGATGTAACAATTGTCTGTCTGTATTTTAGCTATGTGTAGCATGAGGGCATGTTCCTACGGCCCCTTATCAGGGACACCTCGTATCAGCTTCGCATTTTTGCCTGGTAAAATTCGCGAAAGTTTTTGGGTTTAGGGAAATTTCAGTGTGTTGTGACGCGAGCCTGATAAGAGGTTGGCCTGATAAGGGGCCGTAGGAACAGTCATTCTAAAATGTGAGATACCGAATGGCCAATAGCATACTTTTGCCCACATGGCTTGCATGGAAAGGTAATCCCGCACAATTGTCTTACAGGTGCGCAAACTGCTCGCTAGTAACGGCCCCACCTTCCACACCGGATAGAGGTGCTCACTGCATAGGCATACGGTACCTCCGTTTTTAGGAAGGTAAGCAGCCTAAAGTGCATGCATCCCCCTGTCACAATCTCATTCCTGGCATCCTGAGCTATTTTCTCATGATAGCTCAATTGCAGTAAAGAGAAGGAAAGGGAAATTCCTTAGTGTAGCCCCTATGAAGTCTGTACAAATATGTGGGCAATTCTCACATGTAATTTGTTTATATGAAGTGGTCCATCGCTAGAAGAACAGACAATACAGTAGCCCTTTGGCTCCAGCAATGCAACATTTTCGCGTCGGTATTGGCCCAAATACCGACGCGAGATCACGTCGAGCGAGTCGCGCAATTGACGACGACATTTATCAAGCCGCGGTGGGTGGTGAAGAGGCGCTAATGGCAAGATTGTATTGGTCAAAGACTCTCCAGTTGCCTTGTAATTGGATGATCATCCCCATCAGGAACCAACCATGTTCGCGCGACTCGAATTTGTTGGGGCAGGATGTACACAGCCGCCATGTCGGGAAGAAGAGCTGAACTGAACTTGGCTCTGGTTGGGAATCTCGGCGTTGGTGGATTGGGGAGAAGATTGACAAAGATACACATCTTCAACGTACTGAAACGTTTTAGAACCAACCAAAACTTTAACTACCGTACTTGATCTCGATTCGGGGGTTCAAAGCCTGCTCTTGATCGGGGCTTCCCCGTCTCCCTTCTCACCCGCACCTCGATAGGGTGTTGGCAGTGGATCTGGACAGGGTAGTCTGTCCTTAGCCCCCCTCTCACGCATCGTGTTTCCTTCATCGAAACGTCCGGCAGCGATTTCAGTGAAAAGAGGGCGCGACATCCTGACAGCTTCACTTCCGCTTCTAGTTGCAGTGCAGACGATCTTGCAGCGTATTACTCACTCTCGTCTCATATCTCAGGGTAGCAGCTTTAGCGTAGCAGCGATCGATCCGTACCCTCCACGCTTGCGACGTTACCCATCCCTATCAACTACCTTTCCCACGACAATCCCACACCGTCCGATCCGCAAATTGACGGTCAGTCCCAGCTGAATGGCGTCCAGGACCGTGCCCAGATCAAGCCGTCGTCGCGGCGATCAACCACGTCATCACAACTTCACCTCACCGCTTTTCATCCTCCTCCCCCTCGCGCTCTTGGCGGCTAGCGCGTTACCGCAGGCGCGAGCGGTGACGCGGAAGGACTTTGCGCGCGCGGTCAACAAGCTCGGCACATACGCCGGCATCCTGTTTTACTCGCCGGGTTACAAGCTCGAGCAACTCCGTAAGTCACAAGCTTGTAAATAGATTGCTTCGCGAGTCGCGCTGCGTTTAAGAAGAGCATGTGACCCGTAAGAGCTGGGTGCGGGTTCAACAAGGTAGGTACACCGACATTCTGCCCTAATCGGCCGGCTTCACGCTCCAGAAACTCCGAAAGTCGTCGGTTTTACGCTCTCAATCGATTCTGTAAATCGCCAGACTGTCAAG